GGGGGGGGTTAGGTGGGTTCTGGGTGACGGGTGCAGTCTATGGAAGGATGGCAGATCATTTTTGCGCCATAACAAACTTTCGGTATGCATGTGGTCTGTTTGGATTTTAAAACAACCCGGTAAAGTATTAACATTCAGAAAACTATCAGAAATCAGACCAAAACTTGACATTAACAAAACTAAAACGAACTTCCCTGTTCAACGGGTGTGACGTCACCTTATTGTAGCACTATAATCCTTACTCTGGTTAAGATATCGAGGTATATATTGATATCTATATACTATATATTCTAAGAAACAGAGAAAGATTTCAACTGTAATAAAGAGACCATATTGAGATGACTATCTGAATCTAATGGTTTTTAGAGAGGCTATAATTCTAAAAGATAATTCTGTGTAAAAACTGAATGATTTATGACAATTTTCTGGTCAAACTGTCAATAAACAGAACTAATGGATTTTATACAGTTGGTAGTTTAAAATACAGCTACGATTAGATTTGACATTAGTCGGCTGGAAAAATATCAAAAATCCGACAAGTACTGAGTCGATAGGTGTAGGAAAGAAAAGAGACTGACCCAGGGTTGGCCCCCGACTTTCAGATTCTATTACCATTTTACATAGTGAAAGAATGACCTGTGCCCCTCCCCCCCCCCTTTTCCCCCCTGGACAATTTTATGGCCCCTGCTCGACCCCCTCACCTAATGTTTTCTAGAAACGCCACTGACCCACATGGCAATATCAAAGTTAGAGTAGAAAGAAATTAAGATCTTTCAGAATATTCCAATTTTGCACAAAATTTTCAGAAAGGCCAAGACAAGGAGTCAATGACAGCCCAACTTGGCATTATATTTCTACAAGAAACATAAAAACTATATCATAAAATGCTCATTAAACTAATGGAGAGATTTTACAGAGATAATCTCATTCGGAAAATAGAAAATTGCACGCAAATATGCTATTCAGAAACATAAAAATACATCATACAAAATGTATTGAATTATTCCTGTAATTTATGGTTTGGAGTGAGTTGTATAGGTTTAAATGGATATCACCCACACGGTGGTATATAATATACAGGACCGTATCCAGAAAATGGCTGAGGGGTGGGGGGGGTGGGGGGGGGAGCAATATGGTATCTCTCCTTGATGCCAGGTGATTCCCCCAGCAGCCAACAAATTTTAGATGGCATGAGATGAATTTTTAGCATTTAGAGGTTTTAATTTCCACTTCAAAATAAGACCTTTCATTGCCCAATTTTTTTTTATCAAATACAACGTTTCAATAATTTTACCGAAAGAAATACCGTTGTCCTTAATGTTGACACTACATCGAAGGACGGTAAAAGTTTCAGTTGCATTGTTAGAAATGGCTATCATGAACAATATTGAACCAAAAAAAGCGCACCCCCATGTCTTCATGGAACAGGTGCCCCACATTAGCGACAAGGCCTACACCGGGACAGAACTGTCTCTTGCTTTCCCTGTCGCTGATTAGATGTCGAACCCCTGGGACCAGTCGGTTGTAGACAGATCCTAATCCATGAGATAAATCAGACTTACCTTCAGTAAAAGTTCTGTGAATAAGACATAATCCAAAGATTAACAAAGTGTTCGCCATAATCCTGTCTTATCCTTTAATCCAAACTCATAATCACATAATCCATCATAATACTTTATTCATATCCCGATATCCACATGGAAGAATTTTCCAATCCACTTCGAAATTCAGTCCACAATTAAGAACGAAATTTTTCTGGCTAATTCATAATAATATCCAATCATTACAACAAAAAATCTCAAATCTAATCTAGCGGCGAGAAAAATAACAAAACTTTAAAACTTTAGATCAGGTGTAATAAAAGTGTTCCGTAGCAACTCACAGTAACAATCCGCTCGTACAGATTTCATCGACTATAGTCTGATAATATACGATAAATGTTCACCAGTCCACGGTTAAAATAAATATTACTAAGTATTTATCATTATATATTTATATAACTCATCGACCAAACTAAATTGACTGAATACTTCTTACCTAATCTATAACGAAACATTGGAATGAGTCTTCAGTCGTCCAATATAGAATCAGTGTTCACTCACCACGATTTAAATAAATATCACACACTATTCATCAGTTGACAGTAGAGTAAATCGACTATGAAATTCTGATAGTTGATTTCTACACATTGACAGAGCACTTCTCACCAAGAATTATAACAAAAAATTCTACAAGATATAGCAGTTATATTGATAATATACACTATCAGTTTTCACCTACCACAGTTTAATATAAATATCACTTAGTATCCATCATTATATAATTGTATTACTGGTACTTAATAGTTGGTGGAGCCGCGGTGGCTCAGTGAGTTAGACGCTTGCTCGCTAACCTGAAGGTCCAGGGTTCAATCCCGGCATATGTCGAGATAATACCTTCGGGTTTCCCCCTGTCAGTGATGCAGGTAAGAGGGGCTGACATGGAAAAAGCGTCTAGTCGTTCGGATGGGACAATAAACCGAGGCCCCGTGTGCTACAGGCTGTGCAAGATCACTCGACAGTTGGCAATCGAAAAAGAGCAGGCTAATTTCCGCTGTCCTGGCAAAATTTCCCTCATTTCCGCCTTCATTAGCCCACAAGGTGCAGAAGAGTAGGGCGTAAAACTCCATTCATTTCATTTACTTAATAGTTGGTGAACTCTGAGACAACAATTAATTCAATACACAGGCTAAACACCAAGAATTAGCACGAAACATGCGAAAATTCATACAGCCAAAATATGCTGATAATACACGAACAGTGTTCACTCACCACGGTTTAAATAAATATTACTCAGAATTCATCAATTGACAGTAAGATAAATCGACTATGAATCTCTAATATCATACAGTGGACTCTTATACACCGACAGATCACTTCCCAACAAGAATTCTAACGAAACACTGGAAACTACAGTCGTCCAAATTAATATACTGATAATAAACGATGTATTAAACCACGGTTTAGTTCTCATGATTCATCCGATCATTTTACAATATTATTATTATAACTCGACAATGGATTTTCTGATACAATATTTGAATCTAAACTGTACTCATGGAAGATTTCTGTAAAAAAAAATACAGACTGCCATTCTGACAGTACGATGTAACAGGGAAAGTTTATAACCATCATTAATGGATATAGGTATTGGAAAATTGAACTCTACATTGAATATCAGATCAATTCACTGTATATCTTCTTCAACATGCTCAAAGCTGTGAATAGACGATGTACGGTATCCGGAGCGGTGTACGGGATTATCGATACAATAGACAATAAAAGAAACGAATCGTGTCTGCACCATTTCCGGACCCGAACCCTGGTGTGTTCTCTTCTTCTATTTTTGTTTGTATCGATTGTTCCGCACCGTACACCGCACCTAGTCTATTCTATGATCTAATGACTATTGAACTTAAAGGGGTGTCTTGCTCACTAACTTGAAATTTCAGGACATAGATCGAGTTAATAACGTCGGATTTTTCAACCCCGTTTCTCTCATTGCACACTGCATGACGTTGACCGTCATAATTGACCTATTATGTACAGAAAAGTAAATCGTAAAACGACAGTGAACGTGACAGTACATTATAACAAGTGGAATTATCTCCCTTCTTATATCAGAAAATAACGAAATGGTCAATATTCTACTGATCTGGAGTTACAGAAACCATATAAGATATTGGCACAAATAGGAACTGTTTCCGAATTACACCCCATACACACACAGGCTTTAAATCTTTAACATCCCCTATAATTATATTCAACGATAAGAATACTATACAATATATTTTATTCTATGCTTATTATATTATATTATATTAAAACAATACACATAAAATATACAGAAACAAAATATAAATATTATACAATAATATAGTTTATAAAATATACAATTAGCTTTATATACCTACTAATACATACTCCAAATTCTTCAGTTTTAAAGTCACATCTCCAAAACGAAAACCTGCAAATTGTTTATATAATACAAAATAGTTTCAGAGTACATGTATTTCAATCTACATATTTGACATTATTCAGTTTAAAGTGAAGTTACAGATAGAAAACATACATTAACGTAGATTAAAGGTGACGTCCTAAATGGAAAAAGTGCAAATTTACAGATTTGCTGAAAATCGGTCAAAAGTAATTAGGTGCTCTGTAATTCAAAGATTATGCAATGTCAATGATACACATTATTCTCAAACATTGACCTCTCTAATCTTATTTAATGTCATTCAGATTTGAAGAGATTAATCTGGGATGGCTACTTTAATTTTTGATGGTAACTTTGAATTCTTCAATACAAGGGGAAATATCTGAGTATTGGTCCAGTGTTAACTCTAAGGCGCCACGTCATCTAGACGTTTATTCTCACCGTAACAGTTATGGTTCTCGTGGTACATGATTATATCGGTAGATATCCGTTTTCTATTTTCGTTCAGACAAGAGCCGTTAAACAACAAAATCTGTGAAAAAACTATATTGTAGATCGAAACATCTGAATTTTTAGATAATTTACTGCCGATTGTAGGCCTATTGCTAAAATATATCTTGTACCTATAATGTATCAAGTTCCTATAGCAACGGTACGATGATTATCCACATCCTACCGTTTCTACAGGAACGTGATAATGTATATACATCTAATAACATCTTCTAACTATAGTCAGTGTGGACTAACACTAAGACGATGAAGTCCAAGGTCGTCCCCTTTTTCAAAAAAATGATAAAATATATCTGTACAAAACGAACAAAAGCAAGATTACAAGGCATAGCCTTCATTGAACACAAGGTTATGGCAAGCTCAGAAGATATTATTGGTACTTCCGGTTGTAAAGTCACGTGATGGTAACCATCATTTCTGTTTCCGGTTAAAATATATATTAATGAAAAGTCATTTATTGTGCTTCTATTTCTCATAAAATACGATCATCTTTTAAAAAAAAAGTAGTTCTTGTTTCAGTAAAGTACGTCATCTTCTTGTTTCATTTTAGTCGGAAGTTCGACAGTTGTCCCCCTTGGCAATTCAATTTCTTCTAGGGTTCGCTCACTGGCGTTACTAAATGTTCTTTTCTTGGGCAAGGCATGATTTACCGTGAAATTCAGATCAACATCGCTTGTAACCAAGGCTACTTCCGGTCGATTCCGTAGAGTCGATTTACCAGTGATCTGCTCGTCACCAAAATTCATCATGGCTGCCAAAGTCATGTATTCTTTGGGATTCAATGACGTCATACTGTGCATGGAGGACATGTTTGTCAGATTCGTCTTCACTTCCGTTTCTTCATTTTCATCAACTTCCTGTATTGGATCTCTAAGAACGTGGGGTTGAATATTCGAACGTTCACTATGCGTTCGATTTATCTTGCCGTATATGTAATCGCCTCCGTCCATCATGTAAACAGGTCGTCCATGTTCGTCGTATCCGTAACCATATCCGGAGACGCTACCTTCGTTAAAGACGCCGGTATGGATCGTGGATAAGGAATCGACGTCGATATCGGATTTTCTATCTGAGTAAACACTATACGGAGTGTTCCATAACTGGAAATAATGTCTCGGTGCTTTAGAGATGGCCCAAAAACCATCGCTCTTGAAACTTTTTCTCATGTTCGAGACAAACCTTTTCCTGGAAAAGAGAACAATAGGCATAGTTTACCAGGTGTTCGTTACAGTGCACCTACAAGTAACTTAATGACAAGTAAGTTTTCGATGTGCAAACTGAGAGCATTGATTTGCACCATACCAATTTTCAGTCGTCTCTGGTTCTTGCCATTCCGCTAAAACTAAGCGTTTTTAGACGTCCTTAGATTATAGAGCGACACAATGGATATTAGAGGTCATTGTGAAAGAACGAAAAATTCTGTGCCCTTTAAAATAATTAATGTCAATGTGGCCAACTAACAGACAAGATCTACGAGAACTAGGTTGTGACCCTTACATAACGGGCGTTTAATTCACCTACCTTCGACGACTGAAACCAATAGTCAAGATGGCACAGGTTAAAATCAACAGAGCCATGATGCTGGCAGCTATTATAGCAGCTAGTGGAAACGTCGCTGAAAAATAGACAAGTTTGGTCAGCGTTAATGTCAAGGTCACAGAGATCAAAGTTTAAGTTGATCTATGTAGGTCAAGGCAGGTCAGAGGTCAATGTCATTCAAATAGTTTTAAAAATGTCGCATTGTTTTTCAGTTGTCAGATTCTGTAGAACTTACATTGGCTGGTAAAGTTCACACAGGGGTCAAAGTACATGCACAAATAAAGGTAGAGGGGCATTAATACTTAAACAGATTGGTTTAAGGTCAAGTTCGCACAGAGGTCAAAGTTTAAGGTTTTGTATAAAGGTCAAGGGTCATTTATACTTACATCCACCAGAGCCAACATAAGATACAGCAGTGTCATTGGGTAAAATACCAATGGGCGGGCCAGTGGTGATATCGACAAAGGGTCCATTGGTGATTCTACCCACACGTATTGGCCAGGGACAGACGAATGGTGATGAAACTGATGCTACATTAGTCTTCGGTCCTGTAAAATAATTTAATTATTTTTGAGGTGAAGTTCTATTGTTATCATGGTTTTAAAACTTAAACAAACAGGATAAATTTAGCATCTCCAAATGAAATAGTTTTGATCCGTTTCATAGCTAGTAGACTGAAGTCACGAGATTAATTTCTTTCATTGCACACTGCACGGCGTTGTCCGTCTCCATTTACCGAAACCAAATTTTGATCCGTGTCATAACGAATATAATAATGCCACTTGACTGCTAGCTGTTGTCCGTCTTATTAACACGCACTGACGCAGAAGGGAGGGCATCACTTAGATTTTGACAAAGATGACACTTACTGTACTGACAGACGAAAGGTTTTGTTGTATCACACTTAGCATCACTCCAATCCCAGTCGCCATTAGCCTGGTCATTGTGCATATGACCACAGGCGATACTCTCATAATCCGGGCTGCCTCCAAACACATTACTCACTGAAATTAACCGCAATAAACAGGTAAGATATGGGGCATCTACTAACCTCATATCAGTGCATGGAGGGTGAGGGGAACAGTACGAGCGATATACGAGCTCTTCCAAAGCACAAGTCACCCAAATTCCTTGCTGATGTGACGTCATATCGTGGATAGACGACAATAAAATGGCGGAATTCCAAGCGTATGGATGCCTCTCAACAGTGTCACGACGATGTTGCTCATGAGGGGTCTTTTAATACAGGATCTACCGTACTTACATGGCTCAAAATTCCAGTAATAATTAGTGGCTCCAACCCAGTGACTACCTTTAATAAGAGGCTTAAACTGGTTTATGACGTCAATATCCTTTACTGTTAGAACCAAATCACCTCCCATTACTCGACACACAGCCCGAGCCTCAGCCCAATTTAATTTGTCCTCGCCGATATACATACAGTGATCATTGATCAACAGTTGGCATGGTCTATAGGCTGTTCCTAAAATATAAATAAATATATTATTAGCTATGTGGCATATCTGACAGTTCTATGTCCATCTCCATCCGCGTTTGAAAGTTAAAATGACGACTCGTCTTTTCTTATGACTCTTCCTATAGAAAAGACTTTTATGGAAATAGAATGCAGAATTTCTAGTTTGAGGTATTTTTAGCGGATTATGCGATTTTCATACATTTCTAGTACTTCTGAAGACTATTAACACATATTCAAGACCCCAATAAACAACCGAAAATGGCGAAACATGGCCTTTAAGTTCTAGATTCTTAAAACAAAGATAAAACGTGATAACTTACCCAGATCACAGATAAAAGGGTTTTTGGTAAAACAGGGTTCACTGGATAGCTCTCGTCTAACAGCAGTTTTATCATCTATAACTCCACACAATGTTTCTGATGTGGTGAAAATCTCTGATGAATCTAGGATTATTCCAAGATCTGGAAAAACAGCAAACATTTTTAAGTTATGGAGCAGTATATTAAATGAAGTGGAGGTATATGTGACAGGCCGTTGGGGCGATGAAGCGGCTCCTCCTGCACTAAGGTTGGGGCCGCGGTTACCTGAGATGCATGTACGTTGCTTTCCAGTCTCATCCAGGTCTGATGCGTCTGTCACGTTTGTCTATCTCGTCCCCGTTGCCTCACGTTGATCCCGTTTTTCCCGCGATGGCCTTAACCATGATTACCGCGGCCACCGGGAACATAGTGTTAACTTAACATAATCCAAATAAATGAAATTGAGTTTACAAGAAAAGGCTTTGTATGAAGACTTCAGTGTTCCAGATTGGGCCAATACAACAGAGTTTTACATTATATCGGTTTGAAGTATGAACTTTATATCCTAGTTCTCTACCCAGACTTCTCTACCATCTCTCAATACGTAAAATGAACTGGCGTTTTACGTCTGTCCACTTACCTGTTTGTGAAAATGTGTTATAAACCCAGATGGGTCTCTGGGCGGTCTGACCGAATGTAACTCTCTCAGACGAACATACTTTAGGGTACTCCGGAGACCGGTTGCTACACCAACAACATGGAAACGTTTGTTGATTCTGAAAGTTAAAAACAGACGATCATTAGCAGTAGTCGCCTGATTTGCAACTGGATGATTTGCTTTCACAATTTTAAAATTTGGCCCCTCCTCTCCTTGTAGCTATATGGACCTGCCCAGAATATGTGTCAGAATGCACCAAATCAAATTTCGTGACGGAAAAGGCTCTCTGAATTGGAATGCTTGTGAATATGGCGCTTCCGATTATATTATTAAAATTCGATTTATTAAGTCGTTGTGACTTGTAAACCATGTTCGCGTGTGTTATTCCATGTAAGAACCATACGTAGTTTCGTATGCCTAAACCTACCCAGTGATCCGAAGTCTGTCTGTTTGTAACCCTAGTCTCGGGAGGATGATGATGTCATTGGCTGGATAAAAATAGAAAGCACACGTATCTTACCGTAACAACAGAATATTTTGCTCCGTCCGACCTGCATGTGGCCACACAGTGATCAATACTAAGGTATTTACTACAAATATCTCTTGAGTTGGGTGATGTCAGGCCGGTAGTGTTTACGGCACATGTATCCAGTGGACTTAAATACGAACCTTAAAACATAAAAATAGACAGTTTGAAGTTTGGGAGGGGGGGGGGGGATTACTGCAACAACACAAACAATCAACATGCACATGAATCTGATATTTTCGGGGTTTGTTTGGACGGCTTAGACGGTAGAAAGTATTCGATCGACTAATAGAGAATACACAAGCATTGGATAAAGACTTATTTCCTTGAGTAGGATTCGAACCTAAGACACCTATATCCTATATTGTCCCACAATCTGTCTACATTTTACGTGAAATTGGAAATAACATTTTAGAAGCAAATTAACATACCATTTACCCAATACCATTGGGGTGTCCAGGTTCCGATAGCACCGATCCAGAAAGCCATGTCAGTTGCTCCTTGGGGATGAGAGCCCAAACAATCCCTGACGTTTTTCTCCATCTGTAGCCGGCCATCTTCTAATCTGTACAGACTCCCCCCAGAGCGTTCACATTCCTGGGCCGCCTCGATCCATGTTTTTGCTCGGTTGTTGTACACCAGACAGGTCTTTAAACTGGGCAACAAAATGGCGTTCTCCGAATCACATGGATCTTCGTTTTCTGAAAAACAAAATATACTTATATCATTGGTTATTGATGTCCCTGTACCCCAGACGGTATCTAAAAAACAGGGTAGGGTTTCCCCTTCATCTACCCCTAATCAAGGGATATGGTTTTCGACTGTTTTTGGTTGCGTGTGGGGTTCATGGATCTTGTAGAATAGTCGGCAACGTCCTTTTGGACTTATTAATGATTCAGCTTAATATACCAATATTGATGAGAAAATTTACTTTTAACACGGTGAAAATTCTCAAAAACTAGCGTCTTATGGCCGATATATCTTTATATCACGTCCGGATTTGTTGGACTAGCCATAATGGTTGAAAACTCAACTTTTCCACGAATCGAATCTCGGACCTTCTTGTTAGCGAGTGAGCATTCCTTACTATCTCCTGTCCGGCTAATTGAACAGAATACTCGAACGTGATCCTTACCAAACATAGACATGATTCCTTAGCTTTGGAATTAATCCACCTTTAAAAAAAACAAGTCTAATCTATTTAACCAGTACAATCCACAATATTTCGTATTCTGGACGCAAATTATCAATTTTGTACGTTCTGTTTTATTACACTCAAATAACCAGTGAAAGTTCATCAGGCGCTCTGCAAGATTCAGCTTTACGGAAAGTGCAGAGGAATGCCGATAAAAATATTTTGTGATTTGATAATCAGTTTTGATAAAATATTCTAGTCCAATTATCCAGCATTGGGTGTAATATCCTCTACAATAAAAGAAATCAACTCTTTCTCCTAGTAGCATCCACAAACCATCTAAACAATCGTGGTATTTCACAAAATGTTACTTCGTGACAGTAAAAATAAAAAGAAACTTTTTATGTCTCTCCATCCTAAATGACTTAATTGCGTTTCTTTTCCTAAAAACAGGTTTTGAAGGATTCTTGACCCACCTTCAGTAGACGAGGGTGAAGTTAGCAAACATTGTCTAAGTTTCGAATTACCCTCGGAAACATTTGAAAAAGTATAATTATGCACATTTTCAAATGTCGCTCTGTAGTGTTGGGGTTATTCTTTTTTTTGTCGATTTGGAGTTGCAGTATTTGTTTTTAAATAATCTGCCCCCCATATCGTTGGCACATCTTCACAATGTCAAGCTATTACAAACTACATCTTCACAATGTCAAGCTATTACAAACTACATCTTCACAATGTCAAGCTATTACATACTTCATCTTCACAATGTCAAGCTATTACAAACTTCATCTTCACAATGTCAAGCTATTACAAACTTCATCTTCACAATGTCAAGCTATTACAAACTTCATCTTCACAATGTCAAGCTATTACTAACTTCATCTTCACAATGTTAAGCTATTACAAACTTCATCTTCACAATGTCAAGCTATTACAGACTTCAACTTCACAATGTTAAGCTATTACAAACTTCATCTTCACAATGTCAAGCTATTACCAACTTCATCTTCACAATGTCAAGCTATTACAAACTTCATCTTCACAATGTCAAGCTATTACAGACTTCAACTTCACAATGTTAAGCTATTACAAACTTCATCTTCACAATGTCAAGCTATTACAAACTTCATCTTCACAATGTTAAGCTATTACAAACTTCATCTTCACAATGTCAAGCTATTACAAACTTCATCTTCACAATGTCAAGCTATTACATTTCATCTTCACAATGTCAAGCTATTACAAACTTCATCTTCACAATGTCAAGCTATTACTAACTTCATCTTCACAATGTTAAGCTATTACATACTTCATCTTCACAATGTCAAGCTATTACAAACTTCATCTTCACAATGTTAAGCTGTTACAAACTTCATCTTCACAATGTCAAGCTATTACAAACTTCATCTTCACAATGTTAAGCTGTTACAAACTTCATCTTCACAAAGTCTAGCTATTACAAACTTCATCTTCACAATGTCAAGCTAATACAAACTTCATCTTCACAATGTCAAGCTAATACAAACTTCATCTTCACAATGTCAAGCTATTACCAACTTCATCTTCACAATGTCAAGCTATTACAAACTACATCTTCACAAAGTCTAGCTATTACAAACTTCATCTTCACAATGTCAAGCTAATACAAACTTCATCTTCACAATGTCAAGCTATTACAAACTTCATCTTCACAATGTCAAGCTATTGCGAACTAGGTCTTCACAAAGTCAAGCTATTGCGAACTTCATCTTCACAATGTCAAACTATTACAAACTTCATCTTCAAAATGTCAAGCTATTACAAACTTCATCTTCACAATGTCAAGCTATTGCGAACTTCGTCTTCACAATGTCAAGCTATTGCGAACTTCGTCTTTATACCTTGACTGCAATAGCCACATTTTCTTGTGTAACGAATTGCGACAATTTGATTATACGCTATGGAATACAACCAATTAGAGGCCTTAGAAAAGAAGGACTAAGAATGGGGTTTATGTTCACAGACTTTCTGTCGAGGCCTTTGATTGGCTGAATGTTGGCGTACAATCCAATCAAATTGCTGCATCTGTGATACAAGAAAGGTTGTTATTGAAGTCAAGGTATAAGACGAAGTTCGTATTAGCTTGACATTGTGAAGATGGGGCTGGAGTGAGTCAGATTTCGTGAGGTAGAGGTCATACCGTCCTAGACTAGTCATGCAGGTCCTAGAAAAGTTTTGTCATTCGAATGGAAGAATGAAAGAAACAACTATATTTTACAATGATAACAACTTATGTTCACAGTTAAGGATCCTTTCTACCAGCTGATCCTTGGTCAAACCTCTTGACATTGATCTTTCTCGTATTACCCGTACCCATTTTACAGCTGGGTCGACTGGAATTATGAATTAAGGTGATTTATTCAAGTTCATCTTTAAGAATAATTCCAGTCGACCCAGCTGTAAAATGATGCTGTTAATCCGGTAAACATCAATGCTAAAATGTCAAGATAAAATAAAGAGCCTGTGTGTTGAGGCCCGTTTATACTCTGCTAAGCGAAGCAGCAAAGCGCAGGTTTTTTCTTTGCTCGTACGCAGCAAGCTTCAAAGCTCATCTATGAAGCGAAGTTTCACCTTCGTTGCTCCTTTGCAAGTTTATTTTCAAGCTAGGCGAAGGAGTAGGATGTGGTATTACTTCTTCGCTTCGCTTTGGTCTTTGCAATCAATCAGAGACAGACGTTCACAGATTTGTCTTGTCATAGCAAAGCTAAGAGAAGTTCCACTTAGCTTCTCTTAGCTTCTTTATCTTCGCTTCGCTCTTTCTCTTAGCGGGGTATAAACTGGCCTTTATAGATAACCAATCTGATAAAGGCATGGACTGGTTTATTTGTTATCATTAATCTAGTGAAAGGTTTTAATCCAATAACATCATCAATTTAAAGGAAGCAATCAAAACACTGGTAAAGGTGGTAAAACTAATTTTTGACAATTAATACTTTATTTTATAATTCGGAAATCTTTACTTGAACAGAGCATTTGACCAAAGCAATATGATAGAGTGATAATGTGCTCACATTTATTTGGTTATTTGGAAATATCTATATGATAATCTAAAAGCAATGTTTAAAATGGATGTCATGGTGAAAATTGTTTCAAAATAAGTCAGTTTTGAATTTTTCAAAAAGAAAGGATTATTTCCCCTCTACTTACAGTAATTTGTTAACAAAAACCTTTAAATTGTTGAACACTGGGAGAAAGGAACTTGTCACAGTTTTTATGTCAAAATGTCGGTCAGTGATACAGTTAGATTGCGACTCGTTTCCGTAATAGAATAAGGCTTACCAGTCCGTCTAAATATAGCTTGAAAACATTCAAAAACCACGAACAATGAGGTTAAAAAAAATATGAATAAAAAGGTAAAAAACTATAATAAAAAAATATTATACAAACGGTCCATAATGCACATTATTCCGAAACTTATGTTCCTTATTCATCTGAGATCACGAAAATAGACTTAATATAATAAAACTTCTTCAAAAACTGACTTTTTCGTCTCAAAAATAACAATACTACTGGTAAGGTCACTTGAAATTGTAATATTCGTCTATTGTCAATATTATATCTAGAATGTCATTTTATTTCATCAAACTTTTCAAATATTCGCGTTTATTTTGAGGGCGACGAAGATCGCCATGTTTGTTTAGGGAACTTTATTTCATTCTTTTTTTTCCTTATCAGAATTATACAATATTTAGGTATCTTTCTTCTATTGTTAGAACTACATGGTTTAGAAGAATAGATAGTCTCTAATATTCTTATTTTTAAAGATGGTAGTCGTCTAAATATTTGCTGTACTTGTTTTATTGCTCTAACTAGGTCGAAATAATACCTTCGGATTTCTCAACCCGGTTTCCCCCTGTCAGTGATGCAGGTAAGAGGGGCTGACATGGAAAAAGCGTCTAGTCGTTCGGATGGGACAATAAACCGAGGCCCCGTGTGCTACAGGCTGTGCACGTTAAAGATCCCTCGACAGTTGGAAATCGAAAAAGAGCAGGCTAATGCCGCTGTCCTGGCAAAATTTCAATCATTGCACCCTGCATGGCGTTGCCCGTCTTCATTAGCCCACATAGTGCAGAAAAGTAGGACGTAAAACTCCATTCATTTCATTTCATTTCTAACTTGAAAAGCAAATATGTTGACCACAATGCCCCTTTAAAGGTACATGTATTCTATTTCAACTGTCTGTCTAAAATTAAACTTACAAATTATAGTATAATAGTATTTTGTTAAAAAATCAATCGTTTTAATAAAACACTTCTTTCAACGGTGATTTCAACGTGCATATAAAAACGACAGGAATATTCCTTTTCTTCTTATAAAGGGAGATATTCTTCTAACTATTTACTGTACTAGCTTTATTGCTTTAACTTGAAAGGCAAATATTTAGAGGACTGCATCCCTTTAAGAGTCTTCTATTCGAAACAACAACAAAAGAGTAAACCCCGAGGGTCTTAGTATCTTTTTAGATTTTTTGTCATTTAGTCGAATTCAGAAAAAACTTCAAAGTAAACAACTATCAACACGTTTGTTTATGTGTTAATACATCGTGTCCAAACCACACCCCCAATCGTCATAGTTCCTCGGGGCCATGGTAACACAAGTGAGTCAAAACCAGTATTCACAATACGTTGGTGTTGAAGTGTTTGAAACATTGCCAGAAAAGCCTAACACTCTCTCTTCTTATCCTAATGGAAAACATGATCTCACTCTGTGATTTTGGAACTAAATTAAGAATTGCATTTCTCCACTAGAAGATGAAATAGGTCAGTTGTCTAAAGAATACACTGCGTGAAACTCTGAGTACTAACATGTTTCAGGTTCTGTTTTAACATATCTAATACCAGAAACTAATACGCGCATAGCTGATTTCAAACAGGGCCGTATGTTACTGCCTACTGCTTCTTGATTTTTATAAATGACTTAGTCCCATGATGCAATTTCATAAAACGCTGAGTTTTAGTGGAATTGCCGGAATCA